GGACCAAGAGAGGTTGGCCAGCCAGCCCTGTCCCCGATCAGGGTGAGGGGGCCTATTGGGGGTGGGTCCGGCCCGGGGGGAGGGGCCACGGGTGGTTGGAGGGGGCCAATCGGGACCCCAATCAGGCCAGTTGGCCGCTGCAGTGTGCATCATAGTGACTAGTCATTCCGGTTGCTGGGCTTTTATATATATAGATATTTATAAATATACATTTTCAAATATATGACCCCATAAACTGTGGTCTGCAAATATGTTCACATTTTCTGAATACATGTATTTTTGGTATAACCAAAATATCCAGATGTATGGAATTATGCATACTGTAATGAGAATTTGCTATGCAAGGGTTGAAAACTTTTGACAATATTGCATTGCCTACCATGCAATGTCACATCCAAACTTTTGTATCATTTCACCTAAATTCTTTTTTCTTCTTTAAAACTAATTTTGAAATATTTATACACTTATAGATGCCTTCTTTTCTCTTAAATATTTCTGTGTCCTTAAAAAAGGACATTTCCTTATAAAACCACAAAACAATGACCAAAATCAAGAAATTAACAATGATATAACACAATTAATTTACCTACAGACCTTATTCTGCCAAATGTCTCACTAAGGTCCTTTATAACGAAAGAAAAACATTTTGTAGTCCAGGGTCCTATCCAGGATGAAACACTATATTTAGGTATGTCTGTTTAGTCTCCTTCAAGCAGGAACAGTCTTTGTCCTTCTTTAAAGACCTTGATATTTTTTTAATACAAATCATTTATTTTGCAGAATGTCTCAATCCTGGTATATCTGTTTCCTCCTGATTAGAGTGGCAGGAATACCACAAAAATGATATGCGTTATTCATGTGTTTCCTGATGTGATGTACTGAACTGTTAATTCCATTCCTGATGACGATAACTTAACCACTTAGTTAAGATGGTATCTGCAGTTTTTTCTTTCCATTGTAAAACCTCTATTTTCCCCTTTGTAATTATTTAGTAAGTTGTGGGGAAATACTGTGAGGTAAGTAAATACCATCAAACTTTCACCTACTATTTTAAGCATCCACTGATTGTGATGTTGCCAATGATGATTTTCTAATTCCATCATTCTGTCTATACTTATTAGTTGTACTCTATAGTGAGGAAGAACTTTCTCATTTATTTATTTACAGAATACTTACTTTATTCTATGGGTTATAATCTCTCTCTCCTTAAAAAAGGCCAATAGAAAAAAAAAAGAATTTTGATAGCACACTAGTTTTCCTCTTATATTTCAATTAAACTATATACACCTATCAATCGTTTTCAGTACAAATTAAGACCAAATTAAAAAAGATTTCATAAAAAATTTCAGAAATGCTCTTCATTATTCTCCAGAAGAAAATACTATAATGTAAATACATAGAAGCTACTCTATTTAATACTACAGTAGTCTAGAAAACTCAACGTGAATATTAGAAAATCAGATACTGCAAATCTTAATAAAGACTTGGTAATATAATTAAGTGGTTATAATTTGCTGTATCTGCTCTAGGCAAATCATTTTTGGGGGGGTGGGGGGTGGGAGTCTAACTTCTAGTACCAAATCATTCTCCTATGTATATATTAAAATACTAAAATTTAAAAACGGAGTTGTCAAAGATTATAAAACAAATTTATTTAAGGCCAAGGTTAGAATTTAGATATGAATTTAGGTCTCCTGTATCATGGTCCTAGATGCTCTATACATCTGACCAAAAGTACTGTAATCCAACACCAAGTACAATTGCTGTATTTCACACCAGTGCCAACAAGCAAGAACTCAAAATGAGAATTTAAAAAAGTATATAAGCAGTAGTAAAGAATACAAATTCAGTACTTACAGCTGGATGGGAACCACTGTACCATAAGAGGACCAAAGAGTTATGTCACACAGCAGACAGCCTTTAATAATTAATTTCCCATTCCATGGGGAGATGAGAACTTTAAGAAATGAGGGTAAGAAAAAAGCAAATTATTTTACTTATGAACAATACATTTACTTAAAAAAACCTAAAAGAACCAATTAAATAATTCCTTACCATTTTCACTGAGCTCAAGTCTAGGGGGGGGAAAAAAAAAGCAATTTTATAAGAGCCAAGAAAACAAATACAGTAAAACAAAACATGTACAGAATTACTTACAAGCTTTTATGAGCTGGTGCCGCCATCTTTTTAGGTTCCTTGTACTGAAAAGCTACAATTACGTAAGGATGAATCTGTCTAGGTCGCTCAATAACAGTGGTACCTGAAAGCTCATACAAGTAATACTAAAAGAAAAAGAATTATAATCAGGGTAACACTATAGTATTCTGTATGCACCAAGTTGATCTCAACCCACCCAGTACTGAAACTTAAGACATTAGAGGCAGAAATGTATCTTAGAAATGATTTATACCTGACTCAGTTCAAAGGCGCGAAAATGACTCGTCTTGTGAGAAACCTTGTTAGTATTTGCAGCCACATGGCAATCATAGCCAGAAGATGGGCTAATATAGTTAGTTGTATAATTCTCAGACACAAACTTGACTTTTCCCTAGAATAAAAATATTAAGACTAATCAGATGTTTTCAAATAGCAGTAATCTTATTCTAGGATTCATTTATAAGTAGCTTAATAAAGATTTCTATGTATTTCAACTGTTAACTGTGTTAAGCATTAGAAGTATGGTTCTTAGAAAATAATCTTTAAGGCCAACAATAGTTTTAATTATCCATGAACCCCTTAAAATTGCATTTAAAAATCAGGTATGTTTGGGCATCTTTCTGAGGCAGAAGTCCGTTTCTTTTATCACAATATCAAAGGAATACAAATTTAAGAGAACCACCCCCCCCCACTTTTTTGTTAATCCTCACCAAAGGATATTTTTTTTAGACAGAGTGGAAGAGAGGGAGGAAGAGAGAGAGAGAAGGGAGGAGGGAGAGAGGAAGAGAGGGAGAGAGAAAGAGCGAGAGAGTGTGAGAGAGAAACATTGATGTGAGAGGAACACATAGATCAATTAATTGGTTGACCTCCGGGCTGGGGACCAAGCCTGCAACCAAGATATGTGCCCTTGACCTGAATCAAACTCAGGACCCTTTGGTTCTTGGCTGACTCTCTACCACTGAGCCAAACTGGCTAGGGCAAGAGAACCATTTCTTTAAAATAAAAATTATATATCTTACCAAATAGATTGATTATTCAATGACTATAACATAAAAGATGACAAATGAAATCTAAAATTTCAAAAGATGAGTTTTCAAACTGAGTATTAAGTTATCAATTGTAAATTACAGACCAAGATATATCTATTACATCAGGACCCAGAAATTCACCAAGTAGCAAATATATACAAGTGCTTAGCAGACCACTGGCCCGGACTAGTCAATAGTATTTCCCATTATAGACTTGTCTTCATCAAGGTTACATGTCTTCCAGAAAAAGAAGAAAAAAAGCAGTCAAGTTTTTTTATTTCATATCATGAAATAGCATGATTTTAAAAGCTGTTTTAACAACATGATGATATAGATAGGAAAAATAAAAATATACTAAATATATACCAAAATGAGGATGAGATTACAAATTTTATTTTTATTTTTACAAGAAGAATTTAATTATTTAAAAGATGTTTTGTTTTGTTTTTGCTGTTAAGATCCTGCCTCTTTATTTATAGGACCACGAAAGGCAATTCTCTGGTCAAAGAAGCCAAAGAATGTAAACAGTAAGGAGGGCTGAGAACATGTACGCAAAAACTAAACAGCAATATCCACCAAACAGAGAGGGGATACAGGGGCATAAACCAATGGCAGGCAATCTGACATAAATAAAAAACCAAACATTTGTTATCTGAGCTGACAGGTACACTATCTACAGCAGAATTACGGTACTTATTGAGCAAGAGAGGGAAAACTAAGAAAGGAAAAGCAGTGATGTGTGCCAGTGCAACACTAATTTTCCTCTAGTTCTTGGGGACAAAATTTTGAAATACAACATATTTACACTCTTTTAAAAATAAATCAGTTGTTAGATTTATAACCAAAGAACTCAGAAAGCTAAAACAAAAGCAAAAACAAAAAGACCACAGAATATGTCTTCAAAAAATCTACCAACCTATAAAATCAGCACTTTCCTACTACTTGAATGAAAATTCTAATTGCAAGATTCATTCATATTGAACTATTAAAGGGTATTTAAGAATTTCGAGATCATCAAGTTATAGGTGCCACATAAAGATGTAAACAAGGTCTGGATGTTTTAGGGATAAAGAAAATAAAGATTTCTTATTGTGACAATTTAAATCAGACAATAAATGTTTTCTAAATTCATCTCTTTTAACTGTAAGCACACTGTTTTACAAGCAGCTACCTGTTTTCTGTTATTTAATGTCTAAAAAGTGGCATTGTGGCCAGGCTGGTGTGGCTCAGTGATTGAGCCTCGACCTATGAACCAAGAGATCACAGTTCGATTCCCAGTCACATGCCTGGGTTGCGGGCTCAATCCCTAGTGGGGTGTGCAGGAGGCAGCCAGTCAATGATTCTGTCTCATCATTGATGTTCCTCTCTCTCTCCCTCTCCCTTCCTCTTTGAAATCATTTTTTTTTATAAGTGGCATTGTGGGACAGGAGTGAGAGGAAGACTTCACTGAGTACTGTGAAGTCTTTAAAGGTTGTTTTTTTTAAAAATGTAGATCATATATTAAATAAACAAAAAATCTTTGTCTTTAAAGGAAAGCAGAAATAGCAATTTCATTTTCTGATTTAGAATAGCTGTCTTTGGTGAGGAGTATGTCTAGCAAATGATCTGCAAAGAACATTATCACAGACTGATAACCTTTACTTTTAAAAAGAAAAATTATACTGAAGTACACATAGGCCTTACCTTAATTAGATTACAAATTATAATATAACCAGACTTTCCATGATACCATGGTCTTGCATGAAGACAGTCTGAGTATTTGGAAATGTATACACCTATAAGAGCATAAAATATAGATTAATTTACACTTTTAAAATATTGTTTACACATATACAATTCCAATGTAGGTCTACCCGTAGCTGAACAAGACAAAAGATAAATAAAAGTCAACATTAAAAACTGTTTTGAAACTGCTTACTTAAAAAAAAACACACACCTTTTTAAGTTATTCTAAAGGTATAGAAACATTAGAGCTAAGTAAGACAAAACATATGTAATTGATAACCAATTTTCAATTAGAGTCCCAATAATGAAAAAGAAAGTGTCACACATTTTTGGAAAATTCTGTTTGTTTTTTCTCCATGTAATCATCCAGTAAAACGATCCATGGTAATCTGATTCTCAAGTTATTTTATTAGTAAGTATAGTAACCCCACCTTATCTACAGAGGATACTTTCCAAGACTCCCAGTGGATGCCTGAAACCGTGTACAGTACTGTACCTATATACTGTTTTTTCCTGTACATATATACTTACTAGAGGCCCGGTGCAGGGATTTGTGCACCAGTGGGGTCCCTCGGCCTGTCCTGCACCCTCTCGGAATCCGGGACCCCTTGGGGGATGTTAAGACTGCCTGTTTCGGCCTGGTCTGCGGGGATTGGGCTGAAACTGGCAGTCGGACATTCCTCAAGTAGTAGTGCACGAATGGCAAGGGCCGGGGAGTAGTCCGAGCGTGGGCTGGGCATTGCGCTGCTCCTACTCATCCCCGCCCCGCTGCTGCACCTGCCGCTGCCACCACCGCCCCTCAGTAGCGCTGCCTTGAAGGTGGAAGAGGCTTGCGCTGTGGCAGCTGACTTGCCAGCCGTGAGCCATGCGTCTGGCACCCGCCAGTCAGCTGAGCGGTGCTCCTGCTGTGGGGGCGCACTGACCACCAGGGGCAGCTCCTGCATTGAGCGTCTGTCCCCTGGTTCTCAGTGTGCGTCATAGCGACTGGTCAACTGGTCGTTCGGGTGTTTAGTCATTTGGTCACTTAGACTTTTATATATATAGATGATAAAGTTTAACGTACAAATTAGGCACAGTTAAGAGATGAACAACAATAACTGATAATACAATAGAACAATGATAACAATCCTATCTAATAAAGAGGGAATATGCAAATGCTCCGTGGTGCTGGGCCAGGGCAGGGGACCTCAGGCCTCAACCCTGCCCCGGGGCTGGGCTGGCGGACCTCAGGTCGCACCCCCGGCCCGGCAGGGCTTGACAGGGGACCTCACGCTGCACCCCCCCACCAGGCGATGCTTGACGAGGGATCTCAGACTGCGCCCCCTGCCTGGCGGGGCTTGATGGGGGATCTCAGGCCGAATCCCCTGCCCAGCAGGGCTTAACGGGGGACCTCAGGCCACGCCCCCTGCCCTGGCACCAGGCCAGGGAACCTAGGTCTGTGCACCGAGCCCCGGCGCCAGGCCAGGGGACCTGATGGTACACTGGATAACCTGAAGCTGCGCCCCCCTGCCCAATGGGGCTTGATGCAGGACCTGAGACTGCGCCCCCCACCCTGCGGGGCTTGGCGGGGGACCTGAGGCTGCGCTCCCCACCTGACGCCAGGACAGGGGACCTGAGGCTGCGCCCCGTGCCTGGCGGGGCTTGACAAGGGTGGGGCCAGTCAGGTCTGGATTTCGCCCAATGGGGGTGGGGTCAGCTGGGTCTGGGTCTGGGTCTCGCGTGATTTTGAGGCGCCACGGGTGGGCAGGGACTTGACTCTGGGTCCCACGGCGCACCCCAGACTCTGACAGGAGGAAGATTTTCATATACACTTTACTAATTTTCTTTCATCTTTGACATGTCTATTATAGAGAAAGGGCAAATAGCAATATTAAAATATTTCCTCTAATTAATCCCCTTTTAATGTGCACGAATTTCGTGCACCAAACCACTAGTTTATTATAATAAAGATTATGTAAATGTGGTCTTTCTGCTCTCCAAATATCTTCTTGCACAGCCACACCTTGTTTTATTGCTCTTTGCTACATTATGCTTCACAGATATTGTACTTTTTACAAATTGAAGGTTTGTGGCAACCCTCCATTGAACAGAATGTTTTTTTTTTAAAGTGTGTTATTTATTTATTTATTTATTTTTAATTTCAGAGAGGAAGGGGGAGGAAAGAATAGAAACATCAATGACAGGAGAGAATCACTGATTGGCTGTCTCCTGCACACCTCACACTGGGGATTGAGTCCGCAATCTGGGCATGTGCCTTGACTGGGTATTGAACCGTGACCTCCTGGTTCATAGGTTAATGCTCAATCACTGGGCCATGCAGGCTGGGCCAAAATCTTAAAAAAAATAAAAAAAATGTTTTTATTGATTTCAGAAAGAGGAAGGGAGAGGAAGAGAGATAGAAACATAAATAATGAGAACCATTGATCAGCTGTCTCCTGCATGCCCCCTACTGGGGATCAAGCCTGCAACCTGCACAGGAATCAAACCATGACCCCCTGGTTCATGGGTCAATGCTCAAGCACTAAGCACTAGCTGGGCTGAACAAAATCTTTTGATGCCACTTTCCCAACAGCACATGCTCTCCTGGGGTCTCTGTGTCACACTTTGGCTAATTCTTATGAAACAAAGTGGGGCAAAAGGAGGTTTACAGTTATACATGAATGCACAGAGAGTTTATTCTTGTATTATTATATTATTTTCTATACAAACAACTGTAAACCTACTTTTACCCCACCCTATATTTCAAACTTTATTATTACATTTGTTGTTTATCTGTGATCAGTGATAGTTGATATTACTATTGTAATTGTGTTAGGGCACCATACACCATGCCCATATAACACAGTGAACTTGATAAATGTGTGTGTTCTGACTGCTCCACTAGCCAGCCATTCCCCATTTTTCTCCCTCTCTCCTCAGGCCTCCCTGTTCCCTGACACAACAATATTGAAATTAGGCCAATAATCCCATAATGGCTTCTAAGTTTTCATATGAAAGGAAGAGTCACACATCTCTCACTTTAAATCAAAAGCTAGAAATGATTAAGCTGAGGAGGCATGTCAAAAGCAAAGATAGGCCTCTCACACCAAACAATTTGCCAAGCTGTGAATGCATGAGAAAAGTTACTGAAGAAAATTAAAAATGAAACTCCAGCCCAGTCAGCATGGCTCAGTAGATTGAATGTCATCCCATGTACCAAAAGGATGCTGGTTTGATTCCCGGTCAGGGCATATGGCTGGGCTGCAGGCTCGATCCCCAGTAGGGGGCGTGCAAGAGGCAACCTATCAATGTTTCTCTATCATGGATGTATCTATCTTCTCCCCCTCTTCCTCCTCCCCCCTAAAAAAACAAACAAACACAAGAAACAAAAAACACCAACAATACAAATGTATTACAAATTATATATATACTAGAGGCCTGTTGCACGAAGAGATTCGTGCAATAGGCCTTCCCTTCCCTTGGCTGCTGGCACTGGTTTGCCTCTGGCACCCGGGACCCAGGCCTTCGCTCTGGCTGGGCTCCGGCCAGAGCCGGCCCCGGAGCCATTAAGCTTCGCTGCTCCAGCCCCGGGGCCATCAGGCTTCGCTCCGCTGCTTGGAGCCTAGGTATGCAAATTAACCACCATCTTTGTTGGGTTAATTTGCATGCTCCCCTGATTGGCTGGTTAGCATAGCGAAGGTACGGTCAATTTACATGTTTGTCTATTATTAGGTAAGAGATATATATATATACACATACACTATACTCCAGTGAACACACAAAAGATAAGAAAGTGAATTAGCCTTATTGATGATATAGAGAAAGTTTTAGTGGTCTAGGTAGAAGATCAAACCAGTCACAACGTTCCCTTAAGCCAAAGCAAGACCCTAACTTTCTTCAATTCTATGAAGGTTGAGAGAGATGAGGAGGCTGCAGAAAAGTTGGGCTAGCAGAGGTTGGTTCATGAGTTTTAAGAAAGAAACTGTTTCCTTAACATAAAAGTGTAAGGTGAGCCCTAGCTGGTTTCCTCAGTGGTTAGAGCGTGTGGCCTGAAGGGCTTTGGTTTGATTCAGGTTAACAGCACATACCTTAGTCACAGGCTCAATCCTCAGCCCCAGATCAGGGCACGTTCAGGAGGGAAGCAATTGATGTGTCTCTCTCACATCAATGTTTCTCTCTCTGTCTCTCCCTCTCCCTTTCATTCTCTCTAAAAATCAATGGAAAAAAATATCCCCTGGTGAGGATTAACAACAAAAACAACTAAAAGTGCAAGATGAAGCAGGAAGCACTGATGAAGAAGTTGCAGCAAGTTGTACAGAAGATCTAGCAAAGATAATTAACAATGGTGGCTACACTAAATAACAGAGTTTTAATGTAGATGAAAGAGCCTTATATTGGAGAAAGATGCCATCTAGGACTTTCATAGCAAGAGAATAGAAGGCAATGCTTGGCTTCAAAACTTCAAAGGACAGGTTGATTGTCTTGCTAGGGGTTAATGCAGCTGGTGACTTTAAGTTGAAGCCAAAGCTCATTTATCATTCTGAAAATCATAGTGCCCTTAAGAATTATGCTAAATCTACTCTTCCTGTGCTCTATAACTGGAACAACAATGCCTGGAAAACAGTTTAAAACATGTTTTACTGAATATTTTAAGCTCACTATTGAGACATACTGCTCAGAAAAAAAGATTCCTTTCCAAATATCACTGCTTATTGACAATATACCTGTCACCAAAAGCTCTGACGGAAACGTACCATGAGATTATTATTTTCATGCCTGCTAACACAACACCCATTCTGCAGATCATGGACCAAAGAGTAATTTCACCTTTCAAATATTCTTAACAAATATATTTTGTAGCTTTGTAAGTTAGGTACTGGAGCTGAGTTGTCCAATAGAACTTTTTGAAAAGATGGGGGGAAAAAGAAATACATTTGTAAGGCTATAGCTGCCATAAATAGTGATTCCTTTTGATAGATCTGGGCAAAATAAATTAATAGCCTCTGGAAAGGATTCACCATTCTAGATGCCATTAAAAACTTCTGTGGTACATGGCAAAAAGTCAGAATAT